ATTCAAATATATATCATAATGAAGATGATATCTACAAGCAGGCCTATATCTAGGCGTCAATTGTTTTTAACTTTATTCAAAGACACCCAAGACTTTGAAAAGCTTCCAGTTTCAACTTAAGAAGAGATGAGCTACTACGGGAGTAGTAACGACCTTCCCAACAAACAATACTATGTTATGATAACGTGACAATAACGTTAAATTTTTGTGTTGAAAACTTGATTTTGTAGAACCCTAAATACGTACTGAACATAATTTCAAAACTTTTGTACGTTCCTACAACGTTGTGTAACGTTATTTTGTGACATACCTAACCACAACGTTCGCCACGAACGTTATTAAAAAGTAAACACGTGTTTGCCGGGTTTCTAAACAAATAACTCGTGGCTTGACAACATTTTCGAATAAAGCTATTAATTTTGACACAGAACAGAAACATTCTTTCCACACCACCAGAAAACCCACAAGAGACTTAAAAACAACCCAAACCGGGACGTCCTATCGAAGTATGGGAGGATCTTTCAGAGAGTTCGCACAAGAGTAAAGTACAAGAGATGTTGACAGTTGATGTTGACATAAAATGTACGCACTGAACTTCTTTCGCACTGAACTTCTTTATGCAGCATTGCAAGGGGCGTTCAAGAAGAATCGATTTTAAAGTCTACTTGTGTAGAAAATACATACACATTTTATTTCTCCCCGACGAATTCTGAAGTCACTCCTGAGGCGCAAACCGGAATCTTTCACGACAGATGAAACATTGTCCATCTTTGTCGCTCCATAGTAAAACGAAACTCCTCCTTACACTAAAATAAGAGTATAAAAAAGCATTGCTATCCTGGTGGTACAGTATACCTGTCAAAGAGGACAGCAAAAGTTCCGTTTTAAAGCTTCTTTGTTCACACTGCACTGAGAATTATCAAAAAAACATAAAACGACCATTATCGATACTTTTACAATATAGGCCAAACATGATTGAGGACGGAATTAATATATCATGACATTGGTGTAGGCTTAATGTTTGACAATTCCATGAAATCTCAGATGCAAACACATTTTACATTTAAAAAATGTAAAATTAGGTTGTCTGGTATATTATTATGAATTTTAAATTCGATTTCGATTTTGATTTATTTAAAAAAAGCATTTATATTTACTGTAAGATTAACAATAGAAATTTTATGTTGGCCTATGCCTAAATCACCTTTGGCCCGGTCCAATCAGAAAAATGTATTTTGATTACGTCATGGAAAATACAAAAAGTTTCCCACAGAAGTTCCTTTGTCCCAAACCTCCATAAACATTTAAAAAATCATTGCAATATGAACTTGTTTTGGTATTACAATGAAAACTGACATCGTCCAATCAGAAAACAGTACAAAAATGACGTCATATAGATTTGAAAATGCTTTTATTGAAATCTACGGGTATGCAAAACATCCAGATAAGTCTTATATTCGTTTAGATTAGCTTCTGCAATGAGTAATGAATTTTGGCACACTTTGACTTCATTCTGGCCCACTGTGCAGCGTCATCACCATCATTATCATCATTCATCAGAATAACCATAACCATCAAATCATCATAATCTCCACCACCACCACCACTCGTTTTCATTGTCTGCATCAAGAACATCAACTTCGCAGTAGCGTCCACTATGAAGCTTGTGAGTTCAGAGGCCCGTATCCAGGGGTGGGGGTGCGTTGGGTGCGTACGCAGTTCACAGTTAAAAAACCATACATGCTACAGGTGTATTTTAAGGGCCGCACTAAAGCTCTGTATATCCCCCTCCGTCTCTAAATTAACCCCTGCTAAAAAACAGTACCAGATCCAGATTGAGATAGGCATACTATTTATGGAGGCTTAACAGCATTAACATAACTGAACCTTTAAAATAAAATATGAAAAATTGAGTCTGAATTTGATACTGCCATTAAATATGAACGTGGCGAATAAATATTTATATTGTTGGATAATAAAACGATAACAATAGTCAGCAGCCTAATAATAAAGGCCAACTCAGACAGCGTCGGCCGACGCAGCCCGACCCGATTTATCGTCGGGGACAGTCTTAAGCCGTCGTGAGAAATATTAAACACGTTTAATATTCTACTACGCGACTGCCCCCGACGCACACCATCGCGTCTGCGTTCAACTCACACAGACCCGACGCGACAACAAATCGCGTCGGGCTGCGTCGGCCGACGCTGTCTGAGTTGGCCTTTATAATAATAATTGATCGCGTCGTCAACGTAACGTTTTATATGGCCCTTGATGACAAATGTTGACTTAAAAGAGCTGATGGTATTAATTTCCAGGCAGGTAACTATATTAGTATTATTTTATTTGAACAGCAAGATGAGGCGGTACGGGACAAACGTTACACTATACAATTATGTCATTTTATAACATTTTTTTTATTAATACCTTTCACATTGAATGATACATTCTAAAAATATGGATGTTAAATGCTACAATAAAGAAACGTCCGTCATCTCAAATTTGATCCAAGTTACTTGACTTATGTACATTACATTATTATTATAATTATTATATTGTTGTTTATAATTTATAATTTGATTTTCCTTAATAGAGATGGCAGACGGTAAGTCTTTCCTGACAGTAGGCCTACACTGTTTTCCGCCATACTTAGGCCTATACAGTACAGAACACCTTAATAAAAACTAAATAAGATAGGGCCTACATCAATACAGTACATGAAAATTACACCGAGAAAAAACGAATCTACATAACCATAACATCCGTTGCTGTAGTAGAAGTTTCTATTGTTTAAATGTTGTTTTAAGTATTATGATGTCATAATTAGTTGTTTCCGCGGGTTGGTGTTTTGTTGTGAATTGTCTCATTTCCATGGGAACAATTAACCTTTCCACTTACTAATTAAATAAAACTGTACATGGACTATATTTGCTTCTATAGTAGTGATGGTTGTATTAATGTATAGCCAAGGAAAGAAACCACCACCATCGTCATATATATCATGTCAATAATCATTCGTGTCATAGTTATGGTGATCCCCGTGGTGGTGGTCACGCATCCTTATTTACCTCACAATCATCCTCTTTGTACACCACTGACTATCAAGATCCTTGATAGGTACCATAATAATTATAAAAATATTTAAGCATTTATATAGCGCTCTTTACCGGAGTCTCACAGCGCTTAAATGTATAACCTATAGAAAAAGGTGAGTTTTAAGAAGAAATTTGAATTCAGAAAGTGTTGGAGCATAACAGATGGCGGTGGGAAGTTGGTTCCGAGAAGAGGTGAAAACCTTTGGGGACAGATGTTAAGTTTAAAAGGATCAAGTTCAGAACGAAGGCCAGCACGTAAAGGAGTATTATAAAGTTATAAGTTCCTGAAGGTAAGATGGAACAGTATTATGTAGGCACTTACAAGTCATAGTTACAATCCTAAAAATAATGCGTTTATGAACAGGTAACCAATGAAGCCGTGTGAGTATATAAATATGTGACATGGTCAGATTTCATCGCTCGGAATATGAGTTTTGCCGCCCTGTTCTGAATTAGCTACAGACGTTTTATTTCTTTTTCAAATGAACCATGAAGTAGAGAAATACATTAAATGGCAAACAGATTATGTCTATGTAATTTCTGATTTGGAAGATATTTCTGAGGATACCATCACAATTATCGGTGCCATGTGATTATTATCATTTTATGACTTGTTCATAATACAAATACAGCTTTTGAAAACAAATTATTTAGAAGAACGCGAATGGACATTAATTATCATCATCATAGTCATCGTCGTCGTCGTCATCATCATCATCAATGTTATCATCATTTTCATTAATTCATGATTTAGAATTTTAGTATCCTCAACGCCACATAGTGCCGCCATGACATTAATGCTTCATTATCATCGCCAGCGTCATCACCATCATTATCATCATTCATCAGAATAACCATAACCATCAAATCATCATAATCTCCACCACCACCACCTCGTTTTCATTCTTTGCATCAAGAACATCAACTTCGCAGTAGCGGCCACTATCAAGCTTTTGAGTTCAGAGGCCCGTATACAGGGGGTGGGGGTGCGTTGGTTGCGTACGCACCCCCCCCCCCCCCCCCCCCCCGC